GAAATTTAGTCATGTGAGAAGCTATAAAAGAAATTAATGTCGAATTTGGTGATAACTTTGTTACATTAAATGGTTGTTGAGTTCGCCAATTCTCGAAGTTTGCTCGAACGTAACTTGTGGGAATATCAGTATCTTCATCAAATGTTGCTAGAATATCAAAAAGGTCTTTTTTATCATGACACTTCGGACAATGTGTTTTAGGTTCTAAAGTAAAATGTATTAACTTTGGTCCCTTCCATGCTTTCTCTTTCGGTAGATTTGGTCTATTAGCACAAAAGAGGGCATCGACGGTTTTAAGTTCCTCAGGATCAATTTGGTCTAAATGTCTTTCTTTCCAAATACATGGTATATCGCATTTTACTGATATTTCGTTATTTCTATATCTTGGTCCTAGTACGTCATACCACTCAACATTCCTCGTTATATATATTTTTACTTTCTGATTATTATTCAAATAACCTGTTATATAGTGTCTCTGCTTCCATTCTGTAAAGGTTGTAGGCTTGATTTTAAGTTTGTCTACTAATGCTACTGTGTAATTTAACTCAAATGGATTGGTAGACTTGACGTTAAACTCATTAACAAATTGTTTTATGTGTATGTCCTTTAAGATAAAGAAAGATAGAGCAAGTATTACAATGAAAATGCCTAATGCTCTTTTATCAATGCACAGCTTTATCAACATTTAAAGTGGCTTTGTGCTTATCGAGATAGAAATATAATAATATACACGTTGTGAAAAATAGAAGAAATCTAAACTAGTTGTGTTTTAGGATTTTTTTTTTTAATTTCAATTTACTTTCCGACTTAGTAGCATGAATTTCACTTGTAATTATAATAGCGGATTTGAATGAGGCTTAATAAGAAATGATCGGCCAATTAAATAAATAAGAAAATAATAATTGACACAGATTACGTACTTCAAACATTTTGATTAATAAATAACTGATGCACTTATTGGCTGAATTGACTTGGATAAAAAAGACTTCTTAACACTAAGTCTGTACAGATAAGAAATTAATAATAGGTGCATACATTGTTTTCAACCATTCGATTAACGTTAATAATCATTGTTATAATTGAAAATTAAGTTAACCTGATTAAAGGACTTAATGAAACGAGAAAAGTAATGAGAAACATCGCATTAGAAACCACCAAATTTGTAATTGATTTTCATAGATATTAATTTTTGTGAAACCGATAGCTAATCAACGAGTCACATAAATCCCGTGTCCCGTTTATAAGTTACTATACAAATACCGTTTAATGTTAAAGTGTGCTAGTAAGTATGTCGTGATATCATATCCTTATCCCTATGTATATATATATATACGTAATAAGCAGAGTTGGGGGATAAAAAATTTGCCGGTGTCAAATAACCCATCTCCGTAACATCGGTATCGAGTGGCATCTAAAATGACGGGTGATGATGCCCACATTACCGGTTTTGAAACTAGTCTGATTTCAGCAGGTAAATTTAGTGATCACAGGGTGGCTTAGCAGCAATCTTTTCCCATTACATACTTCGTTTAAACGTGAAGCAGAAGACAAAGAAATAAAAAAAAGCTCAAATAAATAATTAAAAATATACATCACTGGGAACATAGATGATATTACGAATACGATAGTAAACGATAGTAAAAACATAATTTTTGGTCACAAAAATTTGTACATCCGGTTCCTAGATATTTAATATTTTCCGTCGGATTTGATACCGATCTGATGAAATGAAATTCATTGATCGTCAAAAACAAGAGCGAACGAATTTGTTGATAGATTAACCTTTTTCACATGACGTTCTATAAAAATGATTAAGCAACTACACATCACTGTTCTGAGACTAGATTGTTGTGCAGTGTCGTCGCGCAAAACTAGGAACGGGTAATTGAAAGTTAAAAGTGTTGCATACCAAAGTATTTTTGACGAAGATGCTACAATTCATAACGGTGTTACTATCGAAACTTCGGGAGAGCGTCAGTAAGTGGCCGAGTTTAGATCAGCGACAGTGAACGAAAGGGATATCGGATAGAATATAGTGATAATATAGGACGAGATAGATACAACACTAGGTGTACAATTGTAGTTGTAATAATTATATGATATAATAAATAACTAGAGGATGCAGATGTGGGCGGCTTCGCCGCCCGGTTGAGGCTGTTATATGTTATTTTTTAAAAGAAACA